CTGTTTTCTACTGCCCAGTGTAACACCGTTATAAACTCTGTTAATGCCAAAATTGTAAATATTCACCAGCAGCTGACCACATCTAACAATACTACCTACTAGGGCTGTCAACGAATATAAAAAAATGGACCTTCGAATGTGAAAATTGATATTCGATTGTGGAGACAAAAAAAAAACACCACCACAGCTGTCCTCTTTGCGAGTGGGCGTTGGCATCAGACGCACATTTCTCCAGCCTGGTCGACAAGCGGTTCTGCTCCCAGCTGTTGTCTCCGTCACCCGGCTTGATACATTCGCTCGCGGCTCGCGCAGAAAATAGACCAGACGCCGAAACGATCACTGCAGGGCGCGAGCTGGTCACGGTCCGGTGCTTCGAGGCTATTCGCAGCACTTCCGCGGGAGATGTGGTCACGGGTCAGAGAGGGGCGGCGAGCGAGAGGTCCGCGGTCGTTCATAACGTAGTGTTATAGATAATTGTTTTATGTGTTTTAATGTGTAGGTATGTAAATGTTTTCAAATACGTTTATGTTGAAATAAAAATACCTACAAGTAGTTACGTTTCCTTGTATTAATACATATACAAGTATGTTTCCTTGTATTAGTTTGCCCTCTTGTGGACATAATGCGGAAAAAAAAAATATTCGAATGGTTCGAACCTATGAGTTATTTTTAGAAGGTATATAGTCTAATATAGTCATTTTTGAGCAATTTTGACAGCCCTACTACCTACAGCACACCTGATTTGCTTTTCTGTGCTTCCCCCGTGCCTTCTCTGTCTAGTTTTAAACTTCCCACTGTTGATGAAATATCTGGTCTGATTTGTAAATCCAAATCATTAACCTGCCCATTAGACCCCCCCTCCGACTCACCTAGTTAAAATCTGTCTTCTTCCTTGTTGTTGTTCTTCTTCCTTATTATTATTATTATTATTATTATTACATTTTAAAAAGGTGGAGGATGCTTGTTTTCAGGAAGCTGCTGCTGCTGCGTTCTGACCTGCAGCTGATTCATATTTAATCAGACAAACAGTGGACCTCCTACCAGGCAGCAAACAGGGCTGAAACACACACGCACACGCACACGCACACGCACACACACACACACACACACACACCTTCCTGTCATCACTCTGTTCAGATCAATAATCCAGATTCTGCACCCGCAGCGTGATTTAAGGTGATGCAGAGGAGGAGAGGGACAAATGGAAACTTTAAAGTTCCCGAGAAACAATGATTTAATATTTTACTGTTTTTACCTGGTTTTACCATTTTGTTTGTGTGAAGATGTGAATGTGATGAAGTTCAGTTTGGGCGTGTGTCCTCAGTGTGTGTCCTCAGTGTGTACAGTGGTGTGGTGTTGCTGTCGACAGATCCCGGGTCGGCGTCTGCTGCTGTAAATAAGAGATGTGTCACTCGGCCTCCGTCAACACAAAGGATACAATTACATATTTATGAACAAGCATCCGTCTGTCCTCCTCCTCCTCCTCCTCCGTCTGCAGTGAACTCCACCTCTCAGACGATAATCCACTCAGCGTGCTGTCAGAGAAACACTCAGCAGAAATCGTCCCTCAGTCAGATCTTTTTATTAACCGAGAGGTTTCACATTAACTACGCTCTGCGCTGGCCACGGCTGCAGCCAGAGGCATTATGTTTTCAGGTTCTGTTCGTCTGTCCCAACCTTGTGAACACGATATCTCAAGAATGCCTCAAGGGAACTTCTTTGGCACAAACCAGTTGGACTAAATAATGAACTGACTATTTGGTGGCCCAAGGTCACTGTGACCTTGCGTTGCATCTCTCTCATTCATGAGAATGCGATATGAATACCATGGGGGAATTTCTTCAGATTTGACATAAATGTCCACTTTGTGTCAAGGATGAACTGATCAGAATTTGGTTATTAAAGTGCAAGCTCACTGTGACCTTGCGTCTGTCTCATTCTTGTAAATACAATATCTCAAGAACACTGAGAAAATCTCTTCAAATTTGGCACAAACATCCACTTTGAGTCAAGGATGAACAATAGAATTTGGTGGTTGAAGGTCAAAGTCACTGTGACCTTGTGTCACACCTCCCTCATTCTTGTGAATCAGATATCTCAAGAACACTTGGAGGGAATTTCCTCAGATTTGGGAACAAACTACTACTTGGACTGAACAATAAACTAAATAGATGTTGGTGGTCAAAAGTCACTGTGACCTTGTGTCCATCTCATTCTTGTGAACATGATATATCAATGGACTTCCAATTAAATCCAGTAATCACATTGTCAGTATTTTCTAATGTTTCATAAACTAAACATGACCCAGTTAATAAGATCCGATGACACTTCTTTTATCCTGAGAGAAAATGTTGAGCAGCAGTTACAGTACAAATCAGACACAAGTGCAAATTAAACAAAATATACAGTACAGGCCAAAAGTTTGGACACACCTTCTCATTCAATGCGTTTTCTTTATTTTCATGACTATTTACATTGTAGATTCTCACTGAAGGCATCAAAACTATGAATGAACACATGTGGAGTTATGTACTTAACAAAAAAAGGTGAAATAACTGAAAACATGTTTTATATTTTAGTTTCTTCAAAATAGCCACCCTTTGCTCTGATTACTGCTTTGCACACTCTTGGCATTCTCTCCATGAGCTTCAAGAGGTAGTCACCTGAAATGGTTTCCACTTCACAGGTGTGCCTTATCAGGGTTAATTAGTGGAATTTCTTGCTTTATCAATGGGGTTGGGACCATCAGTTGTGTTGTGCAGAAGTCAGGTTAATACACAGCCGACAGCCCTATTGGACAACTGTTAAAATTCATATTATGGCAAGAACCAATCAGCTAACTAAAGAAAAACCAGTGGCCATCATTACTTTAAGAAATGAAGGTCAGTCAGTCCGGAAAATTGCAAAAACTTTAAATGTGTCCCCAAGTGGAGTCGCAAAAACCATCAAGCGCTACAACTAAACTGGCACACATGAGGACCGACCCAGGAAAGGAAGACCAAGAGTCACCTCTGCTTCTGAGGATAAGTTCATCCGAGTCACCAGCCTCAGAAATGGCAAGTTAACAGCAGCTCAGATCAGAGACCAGATGAATGCCACACAGAGTTCTAGCAGCAGACCCATCTCTAGAACAACTGTTAAGAGGAGACTGCGCCAATCAGGCCTTCATGGTCAAATAGCTGCTAGGAAACCACTGCTAAGGAGAGGCAACAAGCTGAAGAGATTTGTTTGGGCCAAGAAACACAAGGAATGGACATTAGACCAGTGGAAATCTGTGCTTTGGTCTGATGAGTCCAAATTTGAGATCTTTGGTTCCAACCGCCGTGTCTTTGTGAGACGCAGAAAAGGTGAACGGATGGATTCCACATGCCTGGTTCCCACTGTGAAGCATGGAGGAGGAGGTGTGATGGTGTGGGGGTGTTTTGCTGGTGACACTGTTGGGGATTTATTCAAAATTGAAGGCACACTGAACCAGCATGGCTACCACAGCATCCTGCAGCGACATGCCATCCCATCCGGTTTGCGTTTAGTTGGACCATCATTTATTTTTCAACAGGACAATGACCCCAAACACACCTCCAGGCTGTGTAAGGGCTATTTGACCAAGAAGGAGAGTGATGGAGTGCTGCGGCAGATGACCTGGCCTCCACAGTCACCGGACCTGAACCCAATCCAGATGGTTTGGGGTGAGCTGGACCGCAGAGTGAAGGCAAAGGGGCCAACAAGTGCTAAACACCTCTGGGAATTCCTTCAAGACTGTTGGAAAACCATTTCAGGTGACTACCTCTTGAAGCTCATGGAGAGAATGCCAAGAGTGTGCAAAGCAGTAATCAGAGCAAAGGGTGGCTATTTTGAAGAAACTAGAATATAAAACATGTTTTCAGTTATTTCACCTTTTTTTGTTAAGTACATAACTCCACATGTGTTCATTCATAGTTTTGATGCCTTCAGTGAGAATCTACAATGTAAATAGTCATGAAAATAAAGAAAATGCATTGAATGAGAAGGTGTGTCCAAACTTTTGGCCTGTACTGTAAATATAATCAAGAAGGTGCAAAAACCACGTGTGCAGTGTCAAAAATGTCAACCGGTCACTTAAGTGTGATAAAGTCATCGCCAGTATGGAGAGAATGATCACAGATTAATGAATATAAAATAAGTTTTTAGCTGCAGAAACAAGTTAATGTTCAAATAATAAAATACCGTCAACGAATCATGAAAAATTATTTCTGTGTACGTGATATTTAATTGTCTATATTTTCGTGATGATGTTTTCTCCTGTCACACCGCGGCTGTAGAGATAAATTAACTGTCTGATGTCCTGAGGTCAAACTGACCAATCAGCAGGTGTCGTCTTTCCACACTGACGGAGGTTTGTTACAGAAACTGAAGTGAAACTGATTTAGATTTCCGCCTGTGTTCGTCTCTCCCTCCTCATGTTTATGGATGAAGGCAATGTTCAAACAGCATCAATAATAATGCCGCCGCCTCCCTTGAGTGCCTCGCCGCTGTTTTCATACCTCATTTACTGCCATGATCGGCTGCAGAGCTATAGGCTCCTGGTCTGTCTATAGGGGCTGTGTTGTTCAAGATGAAAGAGGAGGAAAAGGAGGAGGAGGAGGAGGGAGAATCTCATCACTGTGACCTTCAGTATCTCAGATATTCAAAGAGAAGCTGCAGCCGTCACTGAAATCTGCTCCTGAATGAGCAGAGTAATTAATCTCTGTCGTCACAGCTTCAGGAGTGAGTTCATTTACATGCTGCTGTCTCTGCTGCGCTCAGTTCAATGTGACTGAGGAAGAACACACTGAGTTCGCCTCTGAGTGTATCAGTTTGGATGGAAAGAGTTTTATTTTGAAAAAATTAAGCTCCGTTGTCATTTGTAGAAAAACATAAATAATTGTTCCATTTACCAGCAAACATATCAGATCACATGTACGTTTACTGAGGTACAGCTCTGAGGTGATACATTAACTCCATGTCCTGTGTTGTCTCTGCAGTACTCGTCGGCCGGCTGTCTGTTGTCTCTGCACCACAGTGAGAAGCCCGATCACGAGGAGGTGTGTGAGTTCAGGCCGTACACCTGTCCCTGTCCTGGGGCCACCTGCAAGTGGCACGGTTCCCTGGAGGCTGTGATGCCTCACCTGATGCACGCGCACAAGTCCATCACCACACTGCAGGTCAGTACCGACTCTTTAACTTTACATCACCACGCTGCAGGTCAGCACTGACGCTTTAACGTTACATCATGACGGGTTATTGTTGCAGCTTTACCACACAGTGAATGTAGTGAATTTTATGACACCATCATGTCTGTCTCTGTGCAGGGGGAGGACATTGTCTTCCTGGCGACGGACATCAACCTGCCAGGTGCCGTGGACTGGGTGATGATGCAGTCGTGTTTCAGCCACCACTTCATGTTGGTTTTGGAGAAGCAGGAGAAGTACGAGGGCCACCAGCAGTTCTTTGCCGTAGTGCTGCTCATTGGCACCCGCAAGCAGGCCGAGAACTTTGCCTACCGCCTGGAACTGAACGGCAACCGGCGGCGGCTCACCTGGGAGGCCACACCGCGCTCCATCCATGATGGGGTGGCGGCTGCCATCATGAACAGTGACTGCCTGGTGTTCGACACCTCCATCGCCCATCTGTTCGCCGACAACGGCAACCTGGGGATCAACGTCACCATCTCTATGTGCTGAGGGGAGCGGTGATGACGGCAGTTGCATCACAACAGAGACACAATGCAGGAGAAGATAGGGAGGTGTTGAGTTCACTTCCTGTCTGTGGTTACAGGGACTCCAGTGGTGTTGGTGACATAGCTGCAAAATTTGAAGCAGCTTTAGTTGCTAAGAGGAAGCAGGAGGGGGAGGAGGCAGGCGGCCGGCACCACCATGTGTGATCTGTGCATTTGACGGATTACGGGACAGAATGGATCGTCCATTTGTCCCTTGATTTGGTGCCAGAGACATAAGTGGAAGAAATCTGAAGCATCAGGTTTCTATCTTTATCAAATCAGTGAAATAGAACTCAAGTCTCCGACCGCCGCCCGTCCAGCCGGGACACCTGAGACTGAGCAGAAAGGATTCTGGTCTTAGGAACAGACTTTACCGAAGCAGCACCATGAGCCTTTGTCAGGATAATCAGATTTCCTGTCACCCTGACGTGTTCACACTGTCTGAGTCTCTCTGAGTCTGAGATACCTGATGTGGTGACAGAAAATAAAAACACAGGAAATGAAAAAAAAAAAAAAAAACGAAGCTCCAAAGACTCGTCCGCCGTGAAAGCAGAATAATGTGAAAATATTTGTTCAAAGCAGAGTGGAAGGTGTCCAGTGAGTGACAGCATCCAGCAGCATCCTGACCCTTCAGCTTGTCTCTGCAACATTCTGACTCTGCAGCTCATCTCTGCAGCGTTCTGACTCTATAGCTTGTCTCTGCAGCGTTCTGACTCTGCAGCTCGTCTCTGCAGCGTTCTGACTCTATAGCTCGTCTCTGCAGCGTTCTGACTCTGCAGCTCGTCTCTCGCAGTTTAAAGGTTGCCGTTGGACCTCTGTGGGAACAAGCTGAGCTGTAGAATCCACTTTAATCCTCAGACCGTCTTTAATCTCAGATAAAAGCCGTAAAATGAAGGAATAATCCTCCGACCCCTCTTCCTGCAGTCTGTTCAGCCGCCAGCGCCTTAACTCTACTACCGCCAGCCTCTTCTTCCTGTCCCTGCTCTTTCTGACCTGCGCAGGGAAATCCAGCTGAAACTGATACCAGAAGACTATTTATAATAAACAGTGTGGATCCACGGTGACACGATGGACTGTGATGGATTATTATCTTTACCAACATTCCTCGTCTTTGAACCGTTGTAGCAGCTGACCGGGAAGAAACAGACTTCACCAGATACCTCTGTCAACAGACACGTCTGTAACTGAACCATGAACCCTCAGACCTCACCGGTGTTTCCTCTGTGTTCGTTCACTGAAAAAAAAAAAAAAGAAATCCTGTTTACAGCTGAAAACAAAATCTGAGTTACTTTACCTACGGGGTCTGGTCTTAATTATCCGTGTTGCTAGTTTTTGGACAAAAAAAATATTAAAAAAAGTGTCTGTAAAGTGTCTGTGTCCAGACAGAGAATGTTACCCTGACATCAAACACCTGTTGCTCCTGTTTCTCCCCTTCAGTTACAGAGTTTCATGGCGCTGCCTCCTGATGTGTCACACCCTCTTTCCCCAGTTGATTTGGAGCGTCTGTTTATATTTAGGTCGACATCCAATAAATTACCACCTACACCACCTAGCGGCTCCGAACATCAGACCTCTGATCTGACAAACGATCACCATTTATGAAGAAGCATGATTAGCTTGATGTAGAACATGAAGCCAATCAGGACGGAGGATTGTGTGACTAAGGTGCAACAGATCCAGTGGTCCAATGGTGGCGGTCCGGTCACGTTCAATTTATAATGTTGGCAAGTTCATATCAGCCACATGAGCATCTTCATCGTATCGGCTGAAGCAGAAACTAAACTGATAAAACATTTTGGCAGCATGTCAGCAATGACCTGGAGGTATGACATCATAGGATTTCTTTGGTCAAACATAGATTATATTTCTGCTGAAATTTCATCCGAACATTGATTTCAGCCATTTTGAATATTTTGGAAAACACATTTTTGACAACTTTCTAAAGCGTAGGTTGGACTCGTACCAACCTTTGTGTGGATCATCACTGGTCCAAGCTCAGCTTTTAGTTTTAAAGGTCCATGCCGGCTTTAACCCCTGAATTACAGCTTGTGGTCATATTCTTGTCTGTTTTTGCTGCCAGTCTCATGGAACATGTGCTCGGAGATAAAAAAACAGGTCCCGTCCTTCATGGTTTGATTTTCAGGGTGTTAAATTTAGTTTCTTAATAATCCAGATTACAGTCTGGACGCTGGCTCAGCTGACTGACAGTGTGAACTCACAGCTGAGTAACAAACACAGAGGAAACACCGTTCGCTCTCTGATAATCACTTCCACTTTACAACCCGCCGACTTTCTACAAAATGTTTTCAGATGCTGTAAATGAAGTTCTATTAAGGGGATATATATATATTTTCTATAAATAAGAGACTGCTTGGTTTATTCCTCGTGCTGATGTGTGTTTGTGTTGGCGTTTCTCTCGACTGTATGAAGATTTTAAAAAACGTTTTTCTACGATGTTTCTGACGTCTTGTTGTTAATTCTGCTGAAGTGTCGCACCTCAACATGATACAGGAGGAAGACAAATGAACGTTCACTTTATTAGAGATGAAACTCTTCTGGTGACGTCATCACGACATCTGTGTCAGAAAATATTTGCTTCTTTTATTTAAAAAAAGTTCAAAGGACAAACGTCAACTACGACTCCCAGGGTGCATTTCACCAACAAACATCCAATCACAGAGCTTCACATTATTTTAAATATGCTGCAATACGACAATTTGAATAAATGAGCAGCTTTTAAATCTGAACTGACTAGCATCGTCATAGCAACAGCAGCTGAGGCTCATGGGTATTGTAGTATTTAGAGTCAAACACCAAACTGACATTAAAAAAACCTCTCAGATACAATAATTACATATAATTAAATCTGATAATCAGAATATAAACATGATGTATATTTAAATTGTTAGGAGAGAAAAATGTGTTTATATTTGTTATTGATACAAATGATGCATCAAAGGTCAACATTAATAAATGTAGTAAATGCTGAATTCTACAGGTCTGTAATTCTAAGATAATTTCCAGGTTATTTACCAGAAAGAACCATTTTATTTGGCAATTTAAAAGTAAAAGAATAAAATAATAATAATACTAATTACAATTTATAATTTACATAGTAAAATAATTACTGTAAAAATCGAGGCTGTTTCTAATTCAGTTGTGAACATGCAAAAATTTCAAATTTGTCTCCAGAAGAGCAAAAAAGTCAACGTACAGTGTAAGTTTCTATTAAAGAATAACTGAATATTGAATGGGTTTAATGTGAATTTAAAATTAAATTAAAAGCTTAATTAGCACCAGGTCACACCGTTCTTTTAGGAAATGTCTTAAAAATACAGACCTGTAAAATACAGTGTGATCACAGTGGACGTCTTTAATATGTGAAGATGATCAGGTGATTTTGTGTCATGGCAGCACGACATTAAAAAGCTCAAATCCACTGAATCTAAGAAAGAAAAAGAGCGACGGATGTCGTCACGTCATGTGACTGATGTCAGGATGTTTTAATGACTTTTCTTTGTTTGCAGCGTTCTGTAATGTTTCTATAATAAATGGTTGAGTTTAAATCTCTGTGATTCTGATCTGTTCAGTTTCCACGAAACAGTCAGACGCCATTTTTTCTGAGTTTATAACGATAATTAGATCACAGGTTTCATTTGGACCACTGGCTCCATCACACTGAGTCGATTACTGATCAGCTGACGTTATGGCACAATCCATGTAGAGGAGCTAAGCTACAGTTAGCTGGCTAACATTAGCTCAGGTTACAGTTAGCTCGTTGGTCGCTCCTGCACCACTCTCAGCTAGCATAAAGAACTTTGAGCGGTAACATAATTTATTGTTGTTAAACACAACACTGTTTGTCCTAACACACAAGTTAATATTATGGATCTTGTTGGCTGATGAAATAATTTGGTGAGCTAGCGAACTGACATATCCACCCAGATAATATTTAGCCGTGGATAACGTTAGCAAGCAGCAAGCTAAGGTTAGCCAGCCAGCTGTGACAAAGCTATGCTGTTGTATTGATCTGGTTGATTCATAGCGTTAGCTGATAAAACAATTAGCAAACGGCAAGCTAGCTAACTAACATAAACATAGGTAGTATTTTGCTAGCATCAACATTAGCGAGCAAGCAAACTATGGTTTGCCAGCTATTTGTAATTAAGCCACATTGTATTGATCTGATGTTGGTTGCTTCATAATGTTAGCTTAAGTAATTTGGCAAGCTAGCCAACTGACATATCTATTCAAATAGTATTTAGCTGCCAATAACATTAGCAAGCAGGAAGCTATGGTAACCAAGTAGCTGTAACTAAGCTACACTGTACTGATCTGGTTTCTTCGCTACGTTAACTAATGTTGTATTTTGCAAATGGCAAGATAGCTAACAGCATTTAGATAATGTTTAGAATAACGTTACTCTCTGTTATGTTCATATATTTTATTTGCTCCATGATACTGAGTAGATTACTGTTTGATAATTAGTTTATCAACTGACATCATGAAACAACCAACACAGACCCATGTAGCGTTGCCAAGCTGCAGCTAGCTGGCTAATCTTAGCTCAGGTCACAGTTAGCTTGTTGGTCACTCCTGTGTCACTCTCAGCTCGTGTAAAGCACTTTGTACCGTTACATAATTTATTATTGTTTAAATCAACTGTTTGTCATAATACACAACTTTGTATCATAGATCACGTTAGCTGGTGAAGTAATTTGTCGAGCTAGCCAACTGACATATCCACTCAGACAGCAGTTTGCTTGCGATAACATTAGCAGGAAAGCAAGCAAAGGTTAGCCACCTAGCTGTGACTAAGTTACACTGTATTGATCTAGTTTCTTCTTAACGTTAGCTGATGAAGTAATTTGCACATGGCTAGCTAGCTAACTACACTCAGATAATATCATGGAGCCAAACAGTCCAAATTAAATATAGGAACAAAATACTAAGTAGCTCACTGTTTGATCATTACTTCATCAACTAACGTTATGAAGCAAACAACAGCAGATCCATATAGAGCGGCTAAGCTAGGCTAACATTAGCTCAGGTCGGCCACTCCTGCATCGCACTTGGCTGGTAGAGGGGGCTTTTTACGGTTATATTATTCATTGATGGCTAAATCAACGCCATTTTTAGTGTCTCAAATCTCATATTTAAACACTTCAAAACGGTCCAAAATTTAAGTGTGGGCTGACGAACCCTTCTCACCCTCAACAGTCACCATCTTTGTGATGTAACAAACTGTAGTTTTAGTTCTTGGCTAACAGTAGTGACTGTTGCAGACTGTTAGCGCTGCAGTGAAGCTGAGGAGAGACGAGACACTTGGGAACATGCATAACGTCACATTATTTGGATTTACCTGCAAAATTTCTCGTGAGTCTTTCACACAGAAATGAGTCAACAGGCTGTTGGAGGCCACTGAGGAAGTTGGGACAGTCTCAGGTTTTAAGTTACGTTACAGCCTGTTCACCCACTGGAGAAATAAAAAGGATCAGTACGTAAAAAGTTACACAGAGTCCCTTTAAGGTGATCTGTCTTTCAAGACCATGTCCAACGAACAGTCCGACATTTTTGTGAAAACCACCTTTTGTCTTTCTACACCACAGAACATATGAAGCCTCTGCTAGCAGCCGCATAGCTTAGCTTAGCATGAAGACTGAAACAAGGAAACTGCTAGCAGAACATAAAACCACAAATTATAAGTTTTAAACTATAAATATGTCCAGAATAAACCAAAGAGATGTAAGATGTTAGTCAGTGAGCTTTAGATGAGCCTGTGGGTGCATGTTTCCTTTGGACAGAGCCAGGCTAGCTGTTTCCCAGTCTTTATGCTAAGCTAAGCTAAGCAGCTTCATATTCGCTCAACAGAGTATGGAATGTCATTTGGGTCAATGTTAAATAAAAAAACTGCAAATACAAATTCATGTCAATATAGTTTAATAAATGTTTTTAATTTAAGAAGGCTGTAACGATAGGACTACGTTTTTTCTTTTTTTTAATGTCAGGAGATTTATATTTCCCACATTTATTTATCCACTTTATTTTCCATCTCTTATATTCAGATGGATGTGCCGTGGTTAATACCAGACTTGAACCAATCGTTTATCTATTTCAGGATTTATTTCATAGCCGCATTTATTTCTTTATTCATTTAATATTTAATATGTTAAATGGCATTCAGTTTCACTTATAAAGCCCAATATCACAAATCATAATTAGCCTCAGAGGCTTCACAGCATACCACATCCCTCACACCCTCACAGCTCATCAGGAAAAACTCCCCAAAAAACTCTTTAACGGTGAAGAAATATTTCCGTATGAGTGAAATCAATCTGAAAAGGTGAAGTATAGCTCCCAAAATGTCAAACTATTTCTTTAAGTTTTCATTCACACCCAGATCACACACATACATACACATCTTTTTTTTCACCTTCTTTCTACTCTCTAATTAGGAACTTAACTGACACCAGTAACTTCCTATAAAGTGAACTGCCAAGTGTATTTGTCAGTAGAATATTTCTGTAGCACCTGATTTATCTGAATAATTTAACACCTACTTAAAATAAACCCTCAGACACACCACGCGTGTTTTTTAGTTTTATTACAAAACTCAGACAGTAAAAACGTCACCGCCTGCTCTTTATAACATTTCATCTTCCAACGAGACGTTTTGGGGACTCAAGGTTAAGACGACAAACAGACATTGTGACGCTGAACTGAAGGAACCTCAGAAATCCTGTCGGGCGTGAACGCAGCTGAGAAGAACATGAGCCTAACAGGTAGATGTTACCTGAGCTTGCTGGACTCTGCTCACCTGTAGCTGCAGCTCACACCCACACCTGTGACTGTGACTCATTCAAGTGTCGTCATGTGTCATGAACACAGCAGCCTGCAGAGGGCGCCAGCAGGACGTCAGCAGGACGTCAGCGCTCTGATGTTCAACAAATGAGGAAAATGACATAAAGGAATCTTTTTCAATTACTGCAGATGGTCTCAGTATTTACGTCTGTCTGCGTCTCTTCTTCTGTCGCTGTCTCTGTCCATGTCCCTCCTGTCCCTGTCTCTATCTGTCTCTCTTCTTCTGTCATTTTCTCTGTCCATGTCCTTCCTCCTGTCACTGTCTCTTTCTCTGTCTATCTCTCTTCTTCTGTCATTTTCTCTGTCTCCATCTGTCTCTCTTCGTCTCTCGTTGTCTCTGTCCCGGTCAAACTGTCTCTTTCTGTCATAGTCTCTGTCTGTCTCTCTCCTCCTGTCGCCCTCTCTGTCTCTGTCGCCGTCCCTCTCACGATTTCTCCTCCTCTCCTCTTCTCGCTCCCTGTCCGTCTCTCTCCTCCTGTCTGTCTCTGTCTCTCTCCTCCTGTCTATGTCCATCTCTCTCCTCCTGTCTGTCTCCATCTCCCTCCTCCTGTCTGTGTCCGTCTCTCTCCTCCTGTCTGTCTCCGTCTCTCTCCTCCTGTCTGTGTCCATCTCTCTCCTCCTGTCTGTGTCCGTCTCTCTCCTCCTGTCTGTCTCCATCTCCCTCCTCCTGTCTGTGTCCATCTCTCTCCTCCTGTCTGTCTCCATCTCTCTCCTCCTGTCTGTCTCCGTCTCTCTCCTCCTGTCTGTCTCCATCTCCCTCCTCCTGTCTGTGTCCGTCTCTCTCCTCCTGTCTGTCTCCGTCTCTCTCCTCCTGTCTGTGTCCATCTCTCTCCTCCTGTCTGTCTCCATCTCTCTCCTCCTGTCTGTCTCCGTCTCTCTCCTCCTGTCTGTCTCCATCTCCCTCCTCCTGTCTGTGTCCGTCTCTCTCCTCCTGTCTGTCTCCGTCTCTCTCCTCCTGTCTGTGTCCATCTCTCTCCTCCTGTCTGTCTCCGTCTCTCTCCTCCTGTCTGTCTCCATCTCCCTCCTCCTGTCTGTGTCCATCTCTCTCCTCCTGTCTGTCTCCATCTCTCTCCTCCTGTCTGTCTCCGTCTCTCTCCTCCTGTCTGTCTCCATCTCCCTCCTCCTGTCTGTGTCCGTCTCTCTCCTCCTGTCTGTCTCCGTCTCTCTCCTCCTGTCTGTGTCCATCTCTCTCCTCCTGTCTGTCTCCGTCTCTCTCCTCCTGTCTGTCTCCATCTCCCTCCTCCTGTCTGTGTCCATCTCTCTCCTCCTGTCTGTGTCCATCTCTCTCCTCCTGTCTGTCTCCATCTCTCTCCTCCTGTCTGTCTCCATCTCCCTCCTCCTGTCCTCCTCCCCCCGCAGTCTCTCATTCTCTCTTGCTCTCTGTCCGTTCTGTTGTCCCCCTGGCGGCGGCGCCTTCCTCTGGTTGTACTTGTCGTAGGCAGCGTCCTCCTTCTCCTCTTTGACTCTGACGGCAGGAGGAGGTGGAGGTGATGAAGAGGAGGAGTGCAGTGCCCGACCTGCCCTCTCTTTCTCCTTCTTCTTCTTCTTTTCTTTCTTCTTCTTCTTCTCTTTCTTGTCTGCAGCAGAGAGCAGAAATAAAAATCCATCCCAGAATGATATGCAGCACAGAGACAGAGGAACAGGAAGTGACCTCACCTTTTTTGGGCTTCTTCACAGGTATGTTGTACTGCTCGTCTTCCTCGGAGGAGGAGGCGGAGGACTCGTGGGCTTTGGGAGCGCAGCCCTCCTCCCTCAGATGTTTGGTGATGTCGTCTATGTCCTCTGTGTCTTTGGGGGGACGGTAGTCTTTGACGTGATCCACGCGGATCGTCCGACCTTTAATCTGACAGTAGACACAGCACAGGTGAGACACAACACAGGTGAGACACAGCACAGTGAGACACAGCACAGGTGAGACACAGCACAGTGAGACACAGCACAGGTGAGACACAGCACAGTGAGACACAGCACAGGTGTCACAAACATCAGCTGCTTAGCTTAGCATAAAGACTGGAAGCAGAGGGAAACAGTTAGCCTGGGTCGACCTGCTCTGAGCTCAGTGTTCCATCGTGTCTTTCTCTGTCTGTGTAAACAAGCGAGACGTGGCGTGTTAGAGCGAACAGCTGTGTCACCTTGATGCCGTTGAAGTTGTCCACAGCCAGGATGGTGCTCCTCTGGTCCTCGTAGCAGATGAAGCAGAAGCCTTTGGACTTCCCCGTCTTCTTGTCCCGAACCAGGTTGATGTTGACGATCTCTCCGTACCTGACGGACAAAAAGAGGGTGATTTCTCTCTGACTGGCTGTCACAGTGACGGAGGAGCATCACAGCTGTGGACTGAGACAAAGTCTACAGGTACATACTGAGAGAAGACGCAGATGATGTCACCTTCAGTCAGCTCGTACGGAAATCCTCCTGCAGGGAACAAAACGCAGTCTGATCAGACCGACCTCCACATCAGCCAGAGTCAATGTTGGTATTACATCCTTCTACAAACCACAGAGACGTTACACTTGCATGTTACTATGTGGCAGATAGGTTTCAACAGTGCTGTGGTCAACGCGTGGTTATGTTTAGGCACAAAAGCCACTTGGTTACAGTTGGCACTATCCTAGCTGGAAAACAGTGATGGGTCTCTACAACACATCCACATTTGGTGCATAAAAAGCAGTGATGCCTCGTTACATCACAGCCAGTTCAGGTGTTTGTTGATGTTGAGCAGTGCCTGCAGCTCGGCAGGCATCTCTCTATCCCCTCCACCTCCTGATGACACAGTCAGCTCAGATACTACGTCACTTTAGAAACGCTGATACGCCACGTATGAAATGTTCAAATGTGGTTTGTAGGAATGTGCGACGCCAACATTTTCCTCTGACAGCTGTACTGGAGGAACGACACACACAGAACTTCTTCTCTGATAATGCTGATAGAAAATGCAAAACATTTCCACTAACATATTTTCTATTTAAAATGTTCTGAGAGTACACATTACATATAATAATCAAACATCACAAATGTTTAATGTTTAAACTGGGTCAGAGGGATGTAACAGATCCCTCTCTTCCATCTATCAGGCTGATGGCAGATTGATCTGTGAGGAGAAACAAGAAAACACGCAGCAGCATCACATCCTCCCGACTGTCTCACCGACAAACACCCAGGCGCTGTCTTTGTACTCCGTGTGCCAGGAGACAGACTCTTTCACCCCGAGGTTGGCCTCACGCTCGTTCAGCTCGTTGATCAACTTCACCTTCGTTAGCGGACTGGAAACAGAGGAAAAAACATCTGAATGAATACAGCTGTTGTGTTTCAAAGAATATTCACCAGCTGCTCCTGAGCACCAGAATCACCATCTGTGATATTCCCATTAATGAGGTGAACTATCTGCCATCATGTGTTGGAGTGAAATGTCTCCTCACCAGCTGGAATCTCAAGTATAATGGAATTTTTCCCAGTTCATCACTGGGATAAAACCAAATGTATCTGCCATTTGACAACAGGTGCCAATGAAAAATTCACCAGGGTCACCTGAACACACGTTACGACATAAATCTCCTCAGGTAACTGCTTCTACTGCTGTTTTATAGCACTTTACATTTATTTACACTCAGCTGACTGTATTTATAAATAATATTATGTGTATCTTGTTCTTTGCACCTCATGTTCAGTTGTTTATTTTTGTTTGCACCGGGGAAATACAGTTTCGTTCTGTGTACTGTGCTGCAGGTGATTGACAATAAAATCATTCTTATGTTTCCCTTATTTTACATTTAAGAGGCTGTATTTTCATTTTAGGAGGTAAATCATGTTCATCAAGCTTTTAGGACTGACATCTGAACCTAGCTGAGACACAAAGTAATATCGTAATAACTGTGTTATATATGATATATGCTCAGTCTTAGTCCCCAAAATGCCCCCTGAACACACAACATCACAAGTTACAGGAAGCTACGTGAAAAAACTTCGCGCCAGACTCCATTTAAAATACGTGCAATTTTATTTCTCCCACTTGACAGGGATCGTAAGTGTGAAGAGACAAGTTAAGGTTAGAACAATTCGTGTAAGTTTAGTCACCTCTATGGAAGTCGGCGAATCAACTTACCTCGAATAATCGAAAGAAAAACGATGGTCTTTCACCAAAACTGACCGTGAAGCGCCTCAACATTAGCAGTGAAACACACCGCAAAACTTTAATATAATTAATATACGAGCCGTTCCATATGTGCCGAATTAATGAGCTGCTTCCAAATGTTTATTGTGACGTTACATGTTGTGTTTAATCGGGATAGTTACGAGCAGATTTCGAGGCAATCTTTAAATTCTACCTTTTGTTAATGGGGATCGGGGAAAATAGAATGTATGGAGCGAGACGGTTAAGATCGGTTACAACAGTGTTAGTTAGCTGTTAGCACGTGTTAGCGGGTTAGCATACACCGGAGGATAGATAAACTAAAGCCGAACGGTATTTAGAAACCCAAATAATAACTTTAACGTGTTAATTTTTACTTACTTCATGGTGAACCAGGTTGTAACACGGGATAGAAACCGATGCTACGGTAGGAATCATCTACCCTGCTGACATGAGCCACTTCCGTTTGAATTGCCGCCTCTGCTGCCGCCTGCTGGTCGGGTGACGTAACTAGAAGCTACGTTTATGTGATTAAAAAAACGACATGATCGTTGTTTGGATGTTAAATAAAACTGAATATTATCACAAGGTAATTATAGTTATATATACATATAGCTAGCTTATATAAAAATGCATTATTTGATTTCGTTCTTTAAATAGGTGTAGCGTCACCGCCCGTACAGCAGGTGGCACTGTGGCTGAAGGCATCCGCCATCTTGTGACCCGGTTTGTAAACACTAGTCTGTCAACTGACATCCAGGCGGCTAATAACATCAGATTTAAATTGTATTTTAATGGAGATTTTAATGCGTCGTGTAACGGGGTTATCTGTAGAAATGTGTCAGCGTTCATTTGTTTATCATGGACTGCTTCCATGTTAAATATTAGGAGTTTAAATACGCTGCGATAGTTGACTTTAACGTCGGCTCACCGGTTAGCCAGGCTAACGGTACCGTTAGCAGCAGTGAAATGATTTTGACTGCCACTCATGGCTTAATAACTTTTTTTTTTTAATTTATCACAACGCGTATTTAAAGTAACCTCTGGTTCACTGTGCTGCGGGTAAGTAAAGCAGTGACTAAATGTACAGTTACTATTTTTCGCACGCTCATAGTTGTAACAGGAACTCGGTTACAATTTCAGTCAATTTAACTTAGTTTTAATCGTTTTAAAATCCTACACACATATTAAAATATTTTCAAGACTTTTTTCTGACTCGTCAGGAACTTGTGATAAATTCGTCATGAGATAAATCTGACTACTCAGTATAAAATGGAGCAATAACTGGAGTTGCAGCTACTATTTTTCGCATGCTTATAGTTGTAGACGGAACTCTGTTACAGTGACTCAGTATACGTTATAATATCATTATATTATTATTTTAATGTATATTTTTCTAATAATAATAATTTTTGAATAATTTAATGTCAGAATTTCTTCCCCTAAATTGCTCTTCTTCTGTGGATAAGTTGAGCAATAAATGGAATTTCAGCTGCTTTTTTTCGCATGCTTATGGTTGTAACAGGAAGTTTAGTTAATTTAAAATACTTGTACTCGTTTTAAAACCCCATGTACATATTAATATCATGTTAGATCACTTCTCTGGCTCATCTGTCAGTTTTAATTTAATGTCAGGATCGCTTCACCTAAATCACAACTCTACTGGTGAAGCAATAACTGGAGCTACAGTTGCTCAAAAGAATAATAACAGCTAATTTTTGGATGCGCACAGCTGTAAGATGAACTTCATTATAATTTCAGTCACTTAAACAGACTGTTGTAAACCCTCTGTGCAGAGTAAAAATATGTTCAGTGATTTCTCTGACTCACTTGGAACTTAAGATAAATTCGGCATGAGATGAATCTGCCTTTACTCATTGTAGTTTATAAAGATCTGATGTCAGTGTCTCACTGTCTCGTCTCAGGTGGAACATCTTAGTGAAATCTTCAGTCTGAATAATCAGCATACTGAGTAGTGGATTACATTTATATCAGATGTCAGAAAGTTATCAGAACATGGAGGAGTTCACATCTGAGGACGTGCTAAATTTGGTAGAATATTGAGTGTTTGGTGGGAGCTGATATAGAGATATTTAAATATAGAGATATTTAAATAATTTAAAGGCTCATAAATAATATTCTGTCTAGTGGACAGAAAACAGACTGTACCAAATATATGTGTTGGGGGCGGCGGTAGCTCAGTCCATAGGGACTTGGGTTGGGAACCGGAGGGTCGCCTGTTAAAGTCCCCGTCCGGACCAAAAATATGGAGCGTGGACTGGTAGCTGGAGAGGTGCCAGTTCACCTCCTGGGCACTGCCGAGGTGCCCCTGAGCAAGGCACCGAACCCCCCAACTGCTCAGAGTGCCTGTCATGGGCAGCCCACTCTGACATCTCTCCACTTAGTGCATGTATAGGTCCAGTTTGTGCATGTGTGTGTGTTCAGACCTGTGTGTAATTGACAACAGAGTGAAAAATTGAATTTCCCCTCAGGGATTGATAAAGTATATAAAATTAAAAAAAAAAAAAAATCACCAACAGGGGGAGCCAGTGCGTTACAGTTAGGGGCCAAAAAAGATTTGAAAAAAATCACCTAATTGATCACTTTGAGCTTGTCTTCCTCTGTCTGTCTGTCTGTCTGTCTGTCTGTCTCTCAGCAGGATGATCTCTCAGGTCTTCATCTTGTCTTCAAAAGGCGACCACCTCATCTACAAAGACTGTATCCTTCCAATTCTGTTTAATAAAACTTTATTTATGAGGAAAATTTGTGCCAGAGAAATTACAATAACCACAATTTAACATTCATGGCCAGTAACAACCAGTAACAACCAGTAACAACCAGTAACAACCAGTTGATCCCCAGGGTCACTCACTGGGCCCAGTTCTAGAAACAGTAGAGTTAAATATCAGTCAAGATATTTAAACTGATCAACACATTAATGCATCAATAATTATAACACAATAATGTCATATACACTCAGTGGCCACTTTATTAGGTACACCTTGCTGGTACCAGGTTGGACCCCCTGTTTAATTCTTGGTGTCACAGACTCAACAAGGTGCTGGAAACATTCCTCAGAGATGTTGGTCCATATTGACATGATGACATCACACAGTTGATCCATGATGAGAATCTCCCGTTCCAGCACATCCCAAAGGTGCTCTATTGGACTGAGATCTGGTGACTGTGGAGGCCATTGGAGTACAGTGAACTCATTGTCATGTTTGAGATGATGTGAGCTTTGTGACATGGTGCGTTATCCTGCTGGAAGTAGCCATCAGAAGATGGGTACACTGTGGTCATAAAGGGATGGACACGCTCAGCAACAATACTCAGGTAGGCTGTGGTGTTTAAACCATGCTCAGTTGGTACTAAGAAAATCTCCCCCACACCATTACACCACCAGCAGCAGCCTGAAGCGTTGATACAAGGCAGGATGGATCCATGCTTCCATCTGAATGTGGTTTTTCCAATCTTCTATTGTCCAGTTTTGGTGAATTGTAGCCTCAGTTTCCTGTTGTTAGCTGACAGGAGTGGCACCTGGTGTGGTCTTCTGCTGCTGTAGCCCATCTGCATCTTGGCTGATTAGCTGTTTACATTGATAAACTGTTGAACAGGTGTACCTAATATAGTGGCCGGTTAGTGTAGATTATTCTGTAGAATCAAAACTTTTACTTTTGGTACTATTACTAAATTTTGATTCTAATACTGTTGTACTTTTACTTTAATACATTTTGAATGCAGGACCTGTAACTGAGTATTTATACTCTGTGGTTTTAGTACTTTCACTGTAATAAAGTATCCGAGTACTTCTTCCTCCTCTGGTTTGTGGTAAAGTTCTTAATGTCACCATCAGTCCGCGGAGAAGCAGGAAGTGATGTCATCAGTGTCTTCTATGAGAAGGTCATGGCGCTGACCGGAGACCAGCCTCCAGTCGTCATGGTAACACCCTGTGTGTGTGGAGCAGTGTGTCCTCCTGCAGCTGCAGCTTCACTCACATACCTTTTATAAACTCCTCTGTGTTCGGATCTTAATCTATATTTTAAAAATATTTAAAAATAACAAAAAACTTGAGCACCAACCGTCCAATCAGAGGAGTGAATTAATTGTGTTCATTAATGACGTCGGGAGCAGGGTCAGTGTGAGCTGCTGTTTTCCACCGTGGTCCTTAAACGCAACATCAGTCTTGTGTTTTGTTTCTGCAGAGTCACAAAGATCTTTACTTCGTCCACGTCAGGCAGGGAGGACTGTACTGGGTCGCCACGACAACGGCTGACTCCTCCCCCTTCACTGTCATCGAGTTCCTCAACAGGTACGTTTTGTTTTTATTTGTTTACATAATCTCTCTCGACTTATTGTCAGAGTCTCTCCAGGTGTATATGTGTATTAGTGTGTGTGTGTGTGTGTGTGTGTGTGTGTGTGAGAGAGAGAGACATTTCATTGTGCAGTCCTGTGTTGTAAAATGACAAATGAAGCTTGTAACCTGATCAGAAACTGTGATGGAGACAGAATTCAAACATAAAGTCAACTCGTCACTTAAATTAAGACACTTATAGATTTTAAAACAGCATCAGTGATGTACAAAGCAAAGAGCAGCGTGTCAGCAGACTGTACCCAGAGGTTGTTTCAGATCAGAGAGTGTCTGTATGAACTGAAAGGAAACTGTGTGTTCACATAAACAAAGAGCAGAACAAATGTAGAACAAAGATGTGTTTCAGTGTGTCGAGTCAATCTGTGTGATGAGTTAGAAACCGAAATGAGAGCGTGTTTACACACAATAGATTTAAAAAAAAAAAAAAAGATTTAAACACGAGATGATGAACAAATATTAAACTCAAGTATGAACACCAGAGTGGACATGAGATGTGTTTGAGATATCTGGGCAGGCAACAGGCCGGTGTCATGTATGTGTATACCTAGTTTCTGTCAGTTTCTTTTATTTCTCTGGATAATTTAAAAGGAACTGACGAAAATAATTAATTAACTAGTCCATAGCCATTGGTTGCTTTGTCACCTTCTACCTTTGCCAGTCCTCAATGCCTATGTGCAGTTTCACATAGATTGACCACGTCAGTGAGTAGAAAAACGTGGGACAGACAGAATGACTGACTGACAGAATGACACACTGACAGTTTCCGTGATTATGTACAGCATACCATACCATGACTTAGTCATACCAAACATTAGAAAACACCAACATTGGTCCACAGGGGGAGCCACAGCGATCGGTCGCATTTTAGCCATTTTGAAGCATTTTTCTGTTGTTATAGCGCCACCCAGTTGCCAATTAGAGTTAAATTTCTCCAGTCACCTTGAGGCGTCCTGTTCTACATATCTACCAAGTTTAGTAAAAATCCATATGGCGGTTAGGCCTAGATAAGAAATGAGCTCTCTAGCGCCCCCATTTTGTTTGATGGGGTCAATAATGGAGGGGTCCCCTCAGATTATGTGTGGTCATATGCCTACAAAGTTGCGTGGTGATGGGTGA